ATTAAAATAGAAAACAGTTATTTTAAATTGTAATAATATTTAATGTTTTTACTGTATTTTTAATGAAATTAATGCAGCTTTGGTGAGCAAAACCATTAAAAATACTGTAATAATATCCTTGTATAAAATAAACAAGCCTTTCTATAGTGTATAGAATAATTTTAAATAGATTATCTTTGTAGAAAGCCATTATACCATAACTGACACATAAAACATAATTTAAAAAGTCACAAAATTACTGACATCATTTTATCCTCCACAGACACAACATGGGCCTGTTAGTACTTTGTCCATCAAATTTCCTTCAGTCCACTCCAGCAGTTAACGCAGTGGTACATAAAAATTACCCTCAACAACAGAGTATGTAGTCAGCCATTACTGTTTAACTAAAAAAAAAAAAAATCAGCCGCCAAAGTGGGAAAGCGCTGAACCCTCAAAAGTTTAATTCACCCAGCGCAGCGCCTCGCCTCGCTCCTCTCCTCCCCTCCCATCCCGCTGGCTGCTTTGGGGAGGGTAATGGTTTGGGCAGGCATTTAGCTAGCTGATAAATGATGAGTGTAGTTTTTGGTGCTCAGGATCCAGGAGATGTGTTTGTTCTGTACTCCTCCGTTCATGTGTGTGTGCGCGCTCAAACTGCATGCTGGGAGTTATTGAGTCACAGCACATGGAAAGACACAAAAAGGAGGCGGAGGGGGGATATAGAGGGGTGGAAAAAGGGAACAGGGGTCAACAAAGAGCAAATATTAGAAAAGGACAAGTGAAATAGAGGATATGAAGGGAAATAAAAAAAAAAGTGAGATTTACCAGTTTTCCACTAAAAAAATGGTGCGAGTGACCGCAAACCTCTCTCAAAACTGGCCCACTTTCCTTTGACTTGAGATTCAAGTGATGAAGGAACTGACTACTGTACTCCATGACCTGACCAAAAACAAACATAGCACATCATTTATCATATAACAAATCATTTATTTGATAATATACTGCATGATATATTATAAATAGAAAAAAAATTGAAAACCTGTACCATTAGAGGTTTGTACACTTGTACCTTACATCTGTACAAAGTATGTTATAAATATTAGCACATATACATATCATTTAAAAATATATTTAAAATATTTTACTTCAAATTCATACAATTAATACATGTAAAAATAATTGTATCTTTTGCTTATCGCTTTGTACCTTTTCTACCTTAGTAATAAATGCATATTTATATGTACATGCTGTATTTTTAAATAATTTACACCATTTTTTTTTTTTTACATATTTAAAAGTCATATAATACCTGTGCTATTTGTAAATAAATTCAAAGCTAAATTAAAGAAACAGGCTGGATGGCAACTAAAGGCATGCTGCATTGGACACTTGATGTGTTGACAGTCAAAAAAATGTGTTTTGTATCATCTATTTTCATTTGCATTTAGTTTTGAAAACTGTATTTGGTGAGGACACTGGGTTAAAAAAAACAAGTTAACGGGTTCAATGCAGAGCCAGAACCAGCATTTTTCTGTCAGCAATGCACAGAATGACTTCAGATTGAGTGCTGGCGCCTGCAAAAAGAGGTAAAAGAGAAAAGAAGACCGATAAAAGAGAAGTGTAGAAAAAAGAGAGAGAGGGCAGGTGGGGGGTTATTGGGCCAGTGGGTGGAGATCAATTTCCCAACAGCCAATCAGTCAAACAGCTCTACCCTATTCTGCTGATTGCACACTTTCAGCTCAAGTCAACCCATTTCCAACTTCCAAGTGTGTGTGTGTGTGCCGGGCACTCATAACTACAGGTCTGCAGCGAGCGAGGATCTGTCACGATGCTTTATTTCCTGAGCCGGTTAGCCAAGAAAGGGACAGCGAGAGAGAAAGATAGAGAGAGGGAGCTCTCAGGTGAGGGGAACCAGGTCCACCAGCGTTCGCTCTGGTAGAGGGAGGTGGCAGAAAGCCGGTTGTGTCAATGCATTATGCATTAGAGTCTGCGCTCGACTGACAGCCCCGCTGCCGCCCTCGGCTCTAACAGGGCCACCGCTAATCAAAGACGACACATCCAAATGTCCAGACACACACACACAGAAATTTACTAATCAAAAAGTGTATTTCCTAGAGGCTATCTCCCAGGAGAAATCCGGCAGGGAGAAATTGGAATAATTTATTAGCTTACAAGTTTTGGTTGACAGTTAGCCTGGGGCTATTTATCTCAGTAATAGAGAACGTCTCCAATGTGGCAAAATTGACCAAATCAAACAGCTTTGATCAGAAAATGAATGTGGCAAGCTTGTCTGTCTTCACGCACCTCTCGAGAAAAGCAGGAAACAAACAAATCCAAAAAAAAAACAAAAAAAACAAGGTAGACAGGGAAGGAGAGAAACAGAAAGAGGCTAGGCTATATAAACAGATTCACACATTTTCAAGGGAAAAAAACTGTATGTGAGGACAAATTAGTTAAATGCATTTTATGACCACAAGGAATATTACACCAGGCCTTGGTGGTGCCGTGACCCGGCTATATTTATTTCAACCCGTCATTTAATTTGATTTGCTCAATCTCTCATAAATCTCATCATATGTCAAGACTCAGCATGTTCTATAAGTGTAAAATCACCACTACTTTTTAATACATTTTACAAAAAATAGCTTAAGGCGTGCATACTGTACCTTCTGGTCATACTGCAAGAAAGTGATGTTCTTCTTTAGTATATTTGTTTTTGCAGTGCAAATGTCTATTTTGTTCAGTTTCTCAGAAAACAAGTCTTTGCATTGGAAGACAAGACAAAAATACTGAGGAAAACATGCATTTGTGCGTGCAACATTTAATACCATTTCTTTAAGAATTTAAGACTTTCTGTTCTGATTTAAGACCTTTTAAGTCTTTAATTTGTGGATGAGTAAATTAAGACTTTTTAAGACCTGCATTTGTACTCAGAAACTGCTAGTCAATTTTACAATTTGGTACAAAGAAACAGCAAATAACACTGAAAGAACTGAAATTTTGAAATAGAAAGACTGAAATTGTATTTTCTTGTAAAACGTCCTCCAGTAATCTTCAAAAAGTAATTATTTGCAGTGTATGTAAGCTTTTTTTGATTGCAAATCTCTCACTACAAAGAATTAGTTTTGAAGTTTTGAATAAATATTAATACTGCCACTCGTTTTAAAGGATGTCCATGAACCGTTCGGACAGAAAACAGCATGTGACAACCTTCAGACACACGCCACAGGCTTCACTTGTGAGGGACGCGCGGAGCAAAGGGGAACAAATTCGGGTTGAGCACCACAACAAACCGCCATGGCAACGGCTTTTGACAACATCACACCCAGCCTCTATACACGGCAGACAGACACGCTCATTTGCGTGGGAGATTGACGGTTCAAAGGGTCTTGATTTTGACACTGAAAAGGAACAAATATTCTCACATGTTGATCTAGTTTAATTAGAGCTGCGTGCTTTGATGCATGCTTGTCAAGGGCTGCTTGATGTTGCATCAAGTGAAGTTCAATGCGTCTCACTCAAGATGACCATGCACGCATTGACAGAAGAGAAGTTTGTGTGGGCCTGCCTTTGGAATGCAACATGCAAACAACCTTCATGCAAGGACGCTTCATCTGCGTTTGACATAGCTAACCTGCTCCAAACATTATTTGCTTTGAATTTGGAACAAAATTGTAATGTCCTATCGTCACTCTTCAAAATAAAGGTACTTCAATGGTTTTAGCTTAAGCCATTGTTGATTAAAATTGCTAAATAGTTATAATATGTTGTATAAAGTTACAAAATTATTTTCTGCTAACCATTCAAAAGTTTGGAGTTGTAAGACTTTTTAAATGATTTTGAAAGAATATGCTCACCAAGGCTGTATTTATTTGATCAAAAAATACAGTAAAAAGTGTAGTATTGTGAAATATTATTACAATTTAAAATAACTGTTTTCTATTTCAATATGTTTTAAGATGTAATTTATTTCTGTGAGGCAAAGCTGAATTTCCAGAATCATTACGCCAGTCTTCAGTGTTATATGATTCTTCAGAAATCATTCTAATATCCTGATTTGATGCTCAAAATGTTGAAAACAGTTGTGCTGCTTTATATTTTTGAGGGAAAATAAGTTTTTTTTTCTTCATTTTTTCAAGATTCTTTGATGAACAGAAAATGCAAAAGGACATCATTTAATTAAATAGAAATCTTTTGTAACATTATAAATGTCTTTCCTGTCACTTTGCATCAAATTCATGCGTCCTTACTGAATAAAAGTATTAATTTCTTTCCAAAAACAATCTTACTGACCCCAAACCTTTTACTGGTACGTGTGCACTGGAACATGTTTATGAATGCAGTTCATTACAGGCCCCTCACGCCGCCAGCAGAGTGAAATTTTTCACCTCGTGCAGACTGCTTTTTAAACTACATTTGGACTCGTGCCGACAATTACCTCCTCAAAGTCTCTAAAGTACCAAAGCTCTGCCTAATTAGTATGCATTATCAATTAACGGCCTTAATAGGCGGCAGATTGATCACATCCCCCTGTTTCAGGGGCCGAACTGAGGCAAAAGCTGGAATGAAAATTCCCTCGCCCGCTCTCACTCACGAAAAAGCAACTAAAACGGCCATGATGTAGAACAACTCGACTGCTGTAAACACTTCTGCAATAAAGTACATCAGGAACAACAACAGTAGGCCTACAACTACTACTAAAGTTAATGACAATAATAATAAACCCTTCTGGAAAACAAAAAAAACTAAAACAGCTTAAACCTGTCTAAAATGGTTTAGCTGGTCTTTCAGCCTGGTCAAACAGCTCTAACAGATGGTGTTCCTGCCTGACCAGCTGAGATGTGCTCAAACCATCAAAACAGACCGGCCTGACCAGGGGAGAAAAAAAGGCAAGTTTAAATGATAAATAAAAACAACAACAAAGCTAATAAAATATATATATAAAAAAAACTAAAAATAAATAAAGCTAAAAATTATTAAATTCAACAAATGAAAATCGGTCTGAAATACTTCAATGAGAGCAGTATTAAACGCACACTCAACTAAAATCGCATTTGATCCAAAGTGCGGCCATTCATCAGCCAAACGAGCCTCATGTTTCCAGCATACATTCATTTTCAGGACATTGTTTAATTGTACTGTTTTACATAAAAGTCGCTGAGTGGAGGAAGAGAGTGTGATTTTCACTTACTCTCACCAAACTGTGTCCTCGTTCATCACTCGAACTCATCAGAACTCTCATGGAGAGCTGTTTTCATTAGAAGAAACAACAAAATAGAGATGCTGATGGCGTGTGGTGTTGGTGAAGATTGATTGACTGATGCATTGATGGAAACGATTCACAGAAGATCTGAAAGCAAAAGACAATAGAAATGTGACATTAAACATCCTAAAATTAAACATGTCTGCAGGAATACAAGAAACAGATTTTCTTTCTGAATATCACAAAAAATGCTGTGGTTACAAAACATACATATGACAGCATTATTCCAATGAGCCCACTATAAAAATAATATTAATTCATAATACAATTTAAAATAACTGTTTTCTATTTCAATATGTTTTAAGATGTAATTTATTTCTGTGAGGCAAAGCTGAATTTCCAGAATCATTACGCCAGTCTTCAGTGTTATATGATTCTTCAGAAATCATTCTAATATCCTGATTTGATGCTCAAAATGTTGAAAACAGTTGTGCTGCTTTATATTTTTGAGGGAAAATAAGTTTTTTTTTCTTCATTTTTTCAAGATTCTTTGATGAACAGAAAATGCAAAAGGACATCATTTAATTAAATAGAAATCTTTTGTAACATTATAAATGTCTTTCCTGTCACTTTGCATCAAATTCATGCGTCCTTACTGAATAAAAGTATTAATTTCTTTCCAAAAACAATCTTACTGACCCCAAACCTTTTACTGGTACGTGTGCACTGGAACATGTTTATGAATGCAGTTCATTACAGGCCCCTCACGCCGCCAGCAGAGTGAAATTTTTCACCTCGTGCAGACTGCTTTTTAAACTACATTTGGACTCGTGCCGACAATTACCTCCTCAAAGTCTCTAAAGTACCAAAGCTCTGCCTAATTAGTATGCATTATCAATTAACGGCCTTAATAGGCGGCAGATTGATCACATCCCCCTGTTTCAGGGGCCGAACTGAGGCAAAAGCTGGAATGAAAATTCCCTCGCCCGCTCTCACTCACGAAAAAGCAACTAAAACGGCCATGATGTAGAACAACTCGACTGCTGTAAACACTTCTGCAATAAAGTACATCAGGAACAACAACAGTAGGCCTACAACTACTACTAAAGTTAATGACAATAATAATAAACCCTTCTGGAAAACAAAAAAAACTAAAACAGCTTAAACCTGTCTAAAATGGTTTAGCTGGTCTTTCAGCCTGGTCAAACAGCTCTAACAGATGGTGTTCCTGCCTGACCAGCTGAGAATTGCTCAAACCCCCTCTTAAACCATCAAAACAGACCAGCCTAAGCAGTGAAAACTGCTAAACCATTTTTTGGGAGGAAAAAAGGCAAGTTTTAATGACACATAAAAACAACAACAAAGCTAATAAAATATTTAAAAAATCTAAAAATAAATAAAGCTAAAAATAAATAAATACATGAAATTCAGTTTGAAATACTTCAATGAGAGCAGTATTAAACGCACACTCAACTAAAATCGCGTTTGATCCAAAGTGCGGCCATTCATCAGCCAAACGAGCCTCATGTTTCCAGCATACATTCATTTTCAGGACATTGTTTAATTGTACTGTTTTACATAAAAGTCGCTGAGTGGAGGAAGAGAGTGTGATTTTCACTTACTCTCACCAAACTGTGTCCTCGTTCATCACTCGAACTCATCAGAACTCTCATGGAGAGCCGCTTCCATTAGAAGAAACAACAAAATGGAGTTGCTGATGGCGTGTGGTGTTGGTGAAGATTGATTGACTGATGCATTGATGGAAACGATTCACAGAAGATCTGAAAGCAAAAGACAATAGAAATGTGACATTAAACATCCTAAAATTAAACATGTCTGCAGGAATACAAGAAACAGATTTTCTTTCTGAATATCACAAAAAATGCTGTGGTTACAAAACATACATATGACAGCATTATTCCAATGAGCCCACTATAAAAATAATATTAATTCATAAAAAAGCCTATATCAGTCTTCCGCATTTTAGTTGCACAGGCATGAAATCATAACTAAGTCTTCATAACCTATTTATATTTGATTAATTCTGGACTTATTTTCATCTACACTCTGTGGCCTACATTATGCCACATGATATGCAGGTCAATATTGTGAGTTACTGAGATTGTCACTGGTCATTAAATTAAAGTTAGACAAATGATGCTCTTAGTGAACAAATTTTCAGCAAAACAACCAGTTTAACCATTTTTATTTTGGAACAGAGATGTATTTTAAACTAGACTGCTCATTTTTTATTATATCAGGCATCCTTGTTTGTCATTGACCCATTATATTTATTGTAATATTTACAACCTTTTGTTTTCTATACAGGTTTAAAGACTGTTTGAAGGTGTTGAAATGTAAAAGAGCCTTGCAGGTCTACCTCCACCGCCCTGTTTGAGCCTGCAAAGTTTTAATCTGTATAAATTAATGCATTAAATTGTTTGCTTATTTGAATAAACACCGTTACAAATCATTAGATGAATTACTTGGCCTGCTGATTACAACTTATGCATCAAAATGCACTTAATTTTCATTAGGAGGTATAAAATTAGATGATTATTATATTAATTAAGATGATTACAAACAATTATCCTTTGCAAGCACCCGCGGTCCTGCAAACTAGGTCAGTCTGATGAAGTATTATTTCTGCACCGAGCCATTTCTCCTGGCCTTCGTTCAGCATGGAAATCCGGAATAAAAGCCTGTAAGGGCAGACAAAGCGATGGTCAGATATTTTCTTTGTTTCAGCGGTCATAGGGCCACTGATGTTGGGTTGTTTCCAAGCATGAGAACAGGGTGCTGAATCCATTATGTGGCTATAGGGCCACAGACATGCGACTGATGTCCGAGTATTTCACGGCGCGTAATACACTGGGCAGAATGTGCTGAGAATTCAGGGAAACTGTGGAATTGAAGAGTCACAAATAATAAGCGTCACCGGGACAGTGACCGGAGAGAATGGCTTTCCTTTATATCTGTCTGAGAGCAAGCAATCTAGCACCAAAGAAAACAACAGCACCATATAGGACTCACTGGCTATGATCTAAATGACAAAAGAGTATGCAAATTAAATTAGGATTTATATAAAATGCATAAACTCACCTCATACATTACAAAGGTCAGATGCCTTGCAGAAGAATGTAGGTTTAGTGACGCAAACGCAGATTTTAAGATCTAGGATAAAAGACACCAAACAATTATAGGTCTGTATATAGTGTGTAAAAAGATTTGAGCAAAATTATCTTGAGTGAAAAGAAAAAGTAACTCAACTTGCCAAACTTCCAGTTACTGTTATTGTAAATACTGTTAAACCAAAAAATAATCTCTTTTAAAAGTTTCCTGTTTTGTTTTAATTCTCATCAGTGAAAAACTTTGTTTAGGCAATTTGCATTTTGTCTTATAGGCCTATGTCTTATTAAAGCAATACATTGAAATTACTTCAATCAAGATTCAGATGTACTGTTTAGAGCATTATGAATTAAGTTGTCATTAGATCATTCCTGATTTAGGTTTATATGACTCTCAACGTGTTAAAAAAACTCTTCAGTGCAATCTTTGCAAGAAAGCATAAGCATCTAAGCAAAGATAGTAAGTGCAACAGATTCATACAGACCCAGATCTTTGATCTTTTAACGCACAATCTTCAATTAGGATAATCTATCAATCATAAAAATGCGCTTTTTGCATCACCACACAATAACTAATAGTAATGGCAAAAACAACTAGGCCTACACTTCATAAATAAAGTAAAACAATAACGCTGTAACATTATACTTCATGCTGCAATGCATTCTGGGAACTCACAAACCTTGAACAAAACAGAAATATCGAGCATTATGAAATGATTTGTGCATATATCTCTTTTAGTTGGGACAGCATTTGGAGGAATACTGTTGTTCTAAAATGTGTTTTACATCAAAGGTTATTCATAATTCTTATTAGGCCTATAGCCTAGCGCTATAAATGCAATGGATAAAATGCAAGTGCTTAATCGCTGCATAGCAGTGTGGTATTTCGGCATGGTAGATTTTATATAGGGACAGAATTTGGCTTCTGCATGTCTGATGTTTCATAAAGCAAGACCACAATCCCCACTACAACCCCCACACACCTATGCACACGCTAGAGCCTGTAGCTGCATTTCAAGCCTGTTCTCAGCACGCTGATGTATATTTCATTGTCCACGGCTTAATTTTGATTTATCGTCCGTCCATAAATTAGAAAAATATGTTTTAGAATTCCATCTTGCGGAAAAGCTGCGCGTGATGCCGGGGGATTGGACGATATTTAAGATGTCAGAGATACATATTGGATTAGCGCGCTTTGTTCGCGCGCCATAGCAGGTGTTTAATCACGGCTGATGCGCGCGCTGAAATGCGTTAGGACAGGAACGGGAGCCGCGTTCCCCGGGACTGCGATAAATCACAGCCGAAAGCAACTAACATGTCCCCTCCCCACCTACTCAAACACACACACACACACACACACACACAGCAGGTTTGTTTTTGTGAAAAGTGGGGACATCCCATAGGCGTAATGGTTTTTCTACTGTACAGACCGTATATTCTATTGCCCTACACCAACCCTACCCCTAAACCTACCCCTCACAGGAAACTTTGTGCTATTTCAGGTTTTCAATACACTCCATTCTGTGTGATTTATAAACGTTTTGAAAAGTGGGGACATGGGGTAATGTCCTGAAAAGTCACCTTCTCCTTGTAATACCTATGTCATACCTTTGTCATTATACAAATTTATGTCCTCATTTGTCACAAAAACGCGCACACACACACACACACAAGTCTTCCAACAATCATACAGCTAATCCTAAACGCGAGTGCATGTACGTTTTCTCGATTGCGCTCGTCACACAAGGCAACAGTCACCTAATGATTAATTTGAGTTGTTAATCGATCTTTAAAGTGTTTAATCCTTTGCGGTATATTAATTTGATAAGTTAAAACTTAATACCTCTCAGAAGAACCACTTTTTAAAAAGAAATTCCTGTCAGTATTTTCTGTCGAGATTCTCGCGCAACCAAACTGTAGGCTATTTGGCGCCAATCAACAAAAATAATTGTGATATAAATCGTTTTATATACCTGTGATATAAAAGTAATATTGTGTTAAACAACGACGTTATTCATGTTTTGTTGATGTAGGCCCTACGTATACGATATACGCACTCTAACGAAAAGCGCTCAAGCGGCGTTCTGTCGGTTACTTCCTCAGGTGAATGCGACTTCCGGTTCCTGAAATGATCGAAAACGCGGTTGAAATGTAGGCTATATGTATTTATATGTGAAAATAGATAATTGTAAATAGAATTGTATGCAAATAGAGTTCATTCAGCCAAATGTTTTAAAAAAGCCTAGGCTACTATTTCAAATACTATTTCAGTCTTTCTACTTTACAATGTTTACTTGCCGTTTCTTTGTCAATAGGCTAATTGAACATTTCTACACCATTTGATACATAAAGGTGACACTAAAAAGTGTTTATTAGAAAGACCGTTTAGAACTTTCCACAAATAGCCTACTGTACAAAATCTGACAATATATTTATATATGGAAACATATCATTTTCACTGAATTACCTATCATCTCTATGCACAGTTGTGTGCAGTAAAAAAGCAGTTAATTTGCCTACCTTAAAATTGCTGCCTTAAATTGGTAAGATAACAGTTACAACCTGCAGTGATGAGTTAATTACACTTTTTGACCGCTTTGAATATAATTGTGATGATGAAAATCAAGCTGATATTCTGAAAACCTCATATAATCAGGTCGAAATGAGAGAAATTACTGTGACAATTTAAAAAGTTAAATGGATTGAAACAAGGATATTATAACAATGGAAACATTGCATGGTGTGTGTACGAGAGAGAGAGCTGAAAACCTCATATAATCAGGTCGAAATGAGAGAAATTTAAAATTTAAACAATTTAAAAAGTTAAATGGATTGAAACAAGGATATTATAACAATGGAAACATTGCATGGTGTGTGTACGAGAGAGAGAGAGAGAGAGAGAGAGGGAGAGAGAGAGAGAGAGAGAGAGACGACAACGTTTAGGAGAGCAAACATTTTCAAGGTCATCCGGTGAACTGGAACGAGCTCAGAGAGATGCATGGCGAAAACGGCGCATTTTGACACAAGCGCAAGGTTTGATTAAAAGGTAAAGTAATGGGTTTAAACACACGCCACGCGCGTGGCGCGCCAGACTCTGTTGGCTTTTCGCAAATTACTTAACGGTGCAGTGATGGAAATAAGATTGTAATGTTTGGTAATGGAAAAGAAAGCCCCATATTCTTTTTCGGGCCTTCTTGTTTTCTGACATACACAAAATAAATTACCCAGGCTAATAGGCATGGCGCGTGGAATTTTTCCCCGCACCTTCTGAGGGAATTCAAACGTGTTCCTAGCGGTTTCATTTTACATTCGTTATCTCACGCAATATTGGTTGAAATGATGAAACATCAAACACCTAATGTAACATTAACAGTACTGACTGCTGAGACAAATAGCTCACACGAAAAAGCCCCAAAAGTAACTCAACCTTGAACATAGTGCCTCTGCTGCCTGCGTGAATGCGACTTCCGGTTCCTGAAATGATCGAAAACGCAGTTGAAATGTAGGCTATATGTATTTATATGTGAAAATAGATAATTGTAAATAGAATTGTATGCAAATAGAGTTCATTCAGCCAAATGTTTTAAAAAAGCCTAGGCTACTATTTCAAATACTATTTCAGTCTTTCTACTTTACAATGTTTACTTGCCGTTTCTTTGTCAATAGGCTAATTGAACATTTCTACACCATTTGATACATAAAGGTGACACTAAAAAGTGTTTATTAGAAAGACCGTTTAGAACTTTCCACAAATAGCCTACTGTACAAAATCTGACAATATATTTATATATGGAAACATATCATTTTCACTGAATTACCTATCATCTCTATGCACAGTTGTGTGCAGTAAAAAAGCAGTTAATTTGCCTACCTTAAAATTGCTGCCTTAAATTGGTAAGATAACAGTTACAACCTGCAGTGATGAGTTAATTACACTTTTTGACCGCTTTGAATATAATTGTGATGATGAAAATCAAGCTGATATTCTGAAAACCTCATATAATCAGGTCGAAATGAGAGAAATTACTGTGACAATTTAAAAAGTTAAATGGATTGAAACAAGGATATTATAACAATGGAAACATTGCATGGTGTGTGTACGAGAGAGAGAGAGAGAGAGAGAGAGGGAGAGAGAGAGAGAGAGAGAGAGACGACAACGTTTAGGAGAGCAAACATTTTCAAGGTCATCCGGTGAACTGGAACGAGCTCAGAGAGATGCATGGCGAAAACGGCGCATTTTGACACAAGCGCAAGGTTTGATTAAAAGGTAAAGTAATGGGTTTAAACACACGCCACGCGCGTGGCGCGCCAGACTCTGTTGGCTTTTCGCAAATTACTTAACGGTGCAGTGATGGAAATAAGATTGTAATGTTTGGTAATGGAAAAGAAAGCCCCATATTCTTTTTCGGGCCTTCTTGTTTTCTGACATACACAAAATAAATTACCCAGGCTAATAGGCATGGCGCGTGGAATTTTTCCCCGCACCTTCTGAGGGAATTCAAACGTGTTCCTAGCGGTTTCATTTTACATTCGTTATCTCACGCAATATTGGTTGAAATGATGAAACATCAAACACCTAATGTAACATTAACAGTACTGACTGCTGAGACAAATAGCTCACACGAAAAAGCCCCAAAAGTAACTCAACCTTGAACATAGTGCCTCTGCTGCCTGCGTGCGCTTGGCCTTAAATATGCCTAGTGAAAACCAGGGGCAAGAAAACAGCCATCACAAACTAGAACAAATGGGGGATTGCAAAACACAAACAAAGATGATTTAAAGTGGTACACAAAAACGTGTACGTAGTTAACACAAACCACAACTAATCATGCATCTCTGCGTATGGGAACGGCGTCATGCAGACCGGCAAAACCTCGCAAGCCCCGCACACCACCAACCTTCTGCTCCAGCCCTGCTGGAATAGGCATGCAAAACATGCAAATGCATGACTTTGCATGCATTTTGGCTATTTATGTGTGGAGAACATTGGAGGAGAAAAAGCCTGCATATAGTAGGGGAGACCGGGGGGCTAGTTGTCACACCCTTTACTCCAGTAAATATTTCTCAGGCTGGTTTTATTTTTGATGTCAATGTATGTATAGATACATACATTAGAGTCTACTAACGATTTCCACCATCGTTGCTCTGGAAAAAAAAAAGATACTGTTCATTAAACACTTTGCAGTTAATGTTGTCCCACTATGGATAAATTGTCAATGTCTTTAAATAGACTCATTTGAAATGGATTTTAATAAGTTTTAAGCTCAAAATGATTAATGAGACAGCAAAGATAGAGAGTAACAAAAATATGAAATAAGTGTTTTGCCCAACATATATTGGAATTATTAAATGCATAAAATGACAACATTTAAAACGTGTTCTAAGAAGACAGTTCAGTTTTTTTTTTATATATACCTTTATTGTATAGCTGATTTTTTTCTCTCTCTCCTAGTGAACGTTTTATAGTGTGGTTTTACAGTGGCTGTTTTTACCTACCCAGCTGAAACATTCTCAAAACGTCCTCTGAAGGTCCTCTTAAAAGTTATGAACAAAACATTCTTCCTGTAACGCTTCCTGTAACAGGACTTTTGTTCAGTCTTTAATAATGTTCTCAAAACGTTACCACAAAAGATTAGTATTTATACATCATTCATAGAATGCTTATTTTAAAAAAAATGTTTGAGTTGGATGTTTGTCTGAAATTTGTTAAATGTTACTAAATGTTTCAGAATGTTTAGAGGACATTCAAAAGTAGCTAATGTTCCTGCAATGTTTACAAAATTATAAAATTGAATATTTTATCATTTATTATCTTACCATTAAACAAAGTAAACACATTTTTAAAACATTTAATTGACATTCAGAAGAAAATAAAGTTTTCATAACTTAATGGGAACGTAAGCAAAACGTTCTTATATTTTTGTTAGCTGGGTAAATCATTACAAAAATATATTTTTCAATTTTATTATTTTTTTTTTACAAATATATGCTTTTTTATTTAAAAAAAGAAATCGTAGATAATAGTACGCATAAAAATTATGAAATACCGACATGGACTGTTCTTTTGAAGCAAAACCTTATAGGCCTAGTTCAACTTTTTAACTGGTCACCACATTGACCAGAACACCCATCAAGTGCTTCCGCACAGCGTTCAAGGCTTCAGCAGGTGATAGCGCCATTAAAGAGCGATCAGAATATAGCAATTAAGCTGACATTACACTCGCCCAGCGCTGTCCATAGGTGTCCACCGTTTACCCGGGAACCACCTTCTCTTAATTGCCTCCTAATTCGGCGTGTCAGATCCGTGTTTCACCGCTGTCCCGCCCGGTGGTCGAGTGTGTGTCTTACCGTTCTCAACTCCGAGGCGTTACTCAAGCCAATGACACAAGGCAAATTGCGTTTAATAAATGAGCTTAATGGATCACGCGATTGGATTGTGAGCGCAATGCTTCCTCTGGTTAGGCAAAACATTTATATCCAGTTCTAAGTGTTTCCCGCGCGTTTTAAACCCGCGCAGACGGACTGCGCGTCTCACCTACGATTTAAACTCATTATAAAGCAGGTGAGACAAATTCAAGAGCATGAAAAGTGATTTAGGGTAATCAGGGGCACGACAGTGTCAGTTTAAGCTCGCCTCAGTCAAACCAACTCCATTTAATCACACATGACATTAAAGAACTGAGATATGCAATACTTGGCAAAGTATGATGACGCTTGGCCAATACGGCATATGGCAGTCATCGTCAAACGTCCTGACGTGGCCACGTGGATATTCTCTAATCTTGCGCGCTCACCTAATCAGAAATGCAAGTAAAATGTCAAAGAGATGATGACACCTTCTCTCTCCCTCTCTCTCTTTTATGGCCACGCCATGTTTGGTTGCGCAAAACAATCTCATCGGACATTATTGATGTTACAGATGTTGTGGTAATCAAATTATCGGTCTGTGAAGGGCCCCCCTCAGTCACCGGCGCGCTCCGTGATGAATTATGGTAAAGGTCATCACGCGGCTCCGTTTTATTGGAAGTTTATATGGTAACGCTTGGATGAGCATCTGTAGAGAGACGCTTGCCGTTCACTCTGTGTGCGAGTGTGTGTGTGTGTGTGTATGGGTGGTTAT